CCCTTCGCCCTCAAGGGCCACGGGTCAATAGCCCATTCGGCTTCGCCTCATGGGCTATTGACCCGTAGTCCTTGCGGGCTACGGGTCTAATTGTTAAGTGTAACGATGGACTAACATCTCATCCAGGGTGTGGGGGTAGAAATACTTTTAGTCCCTTCATAGTACGGAAACCGGAGATAAGCGCCGGCCTGATGGGCTTCTTGGTTCGAATGCAGACTTAACCACTTTACTTTTGCCTTATTCTAATGAGGCAAATGTTGCGAACAAAGTTTCTGCGAAAATTGACCCAACCTCGTTCCCACCGCCTTCTCCTCGTCGATTTAACCCTGGGGACGAGGTTAAAAATTGACCTTTTTGTTATTTCGGTTCCAGATCCCACAACCGGGGACACGACTGACTGGACGTTTGGTGTCTTAGGAGTAATACATTCCTACTGCGTAGAACTCCGGCCGAAAACCTATAGTCAGGGGGGATTTATACTCTCACCGGATAAGATTATCCCCGTGGGAGAGGAGACGTTTGCAGGCTTGAAAGCCCTTACGAGAAACATGTGATGAGAGAGAAAAAACACTAAGGAAAACATCAGTAGTTGTTAATTAAGAAAAAAATCATTGGTGAATGTAGTTTGTAACGTTTCTTCGAAACTGAGAATTAAACAAAAAACAACTAAACTTGTTTTGCAGCTCCTAGTGAATTTAGTAATTTACCTTTTCTTCAGCTTTCATGTTATTAAACGTCCCATTTTACTGCATCATATAGAAAGAATTACTGTAAAATTCAAGCCAAGAGCTCTCCAGCTTGGACAAATCACTATACATTACAGACGAAAACGCTTTTCAAGTCTGAAGTGAAGGGAAACCATAAGGCATTTGTTTATGAGCTTTTATGAAGCAGCTGGGGCTATAGAGAGGGCTTCAAGTAAACGATCGAAGAAGGGGATTTTTGTATCAAAACGAAAGAAATGGATAAAAAGATAAACACTTATCGAGGAAAGTTCCAGTTTGTGAAATAGACAAATCTATCCATCGATCTATAACTGAATGTATGCTGATGCTTTATTACGAGTAGCATTCTCAAAAACTTTCAAGAAAATGTCTTTAAAATAAGTATGCAAATAAACAGGACTTCGTGTTCAAGACATTTTCTTGAAAGCTTTTGGCTGGGACGCGGCTTTTGGAAGGCCAGTTTCAGTTATTGCTTTTCAGTAAAAGATTTTATAATTTCCTTTGTTTATACCCTTTAGGATTAAATTTGAACCACCCACCAATATGGATTCTAAAACCTTTTGAGTTCACATTTCATTATCATCATTATCATCATCTTCGTCGTCATCATCATCACCGTTTGTCCGTTCTCCTAGAAGAGAGTTAGGCTGTAGGCTCTCTGCCTCCAGGCTACCCTGTCCTCTGCAGCCAATGCCACCTCTGTCTCGGAGTCATTTATCCTTACGCTTCCTTTCCACAGCCTCCTCCATGTCTTCCGCGGTCGAACACGTTTCCTTTTGCCCTCTGGTATCAATGTGAGAGCGCCAGTGTTCAAACTTTTCGTGTTCTGAATTCTGTGTTTTGTTCGCGCGCGTGATTTCACGTGACTTCATTCACGTGAACTTTGCTGTCGTAATTTTTCAGATTTTCTTCTTGTTGTTGCTTGAGTCTCACAACTCGCAGAAGACAACCTCTTATAACCGGATCCAAATCAGGAGCAGTTTAGTGTTCCATGCATGTTGTAAAAGGCTCTCTCGTCACCAACCCATTTTCGCAAAAAGGATAAAAACAGGGAGCGCGGGGGTTGATGGTTTTCCGAGGGCAGCTAGCTCACAATCCCGCGCGCAGCGAGCTCCAACCAAACGTTCACGCCTGAGAACTTGACAGGTAAAACTGATCATAAATTGCTGAAGCCGTTCTACGCTTCAGCTGACGCTTGAAACATACAGAACAGTGAACATTGCACGTCAACTTTTACGCTTGATAGAGATACATTAACAAGGCTCGGTTCGTTTTCACGAATCAATATTGTCGTTAATACAGGATTAGGAGATTTTCCGACGACATCAAGTAATGTAAAAACATCTTTGAGATCTGAGAACGAGTCGATGTGGACGAATTCTTCGCCCTCTTGACTAATCCAGTGTAACAGTTCAGAGAAGCGCTGTTGTTGTTCCTGTTCCTTTTGTTGTTGTTGTTGTTGTTGCTGCTGCTGTTTTTGTTGTTGTTGGTGCTGGTGCTGTTTTTGTTGTTGTTTTTCATCTTCGTCATTCATAGTTATAGTTGTCTTGTTAGCAGCGTATTTTAGGCATGACTCCACCACGGTACCGCTATCACTCAGAGATATCATTTCAAATTCATCTTTTCTGGGGGTATTTTCTCTCTTAAGAGAAAGAAACGGCAAAGACAATATCAAAATCAAGTTGACACCAGCACGGAGGTAGTGCTGGCGACACTATACTGTATCGTATGGTAAATTGTTTGCACCTTTTACCATACTCTCAGATTGTGGTAGAAACGGCGGAAATTTAACAGACCTCTTTCTCCACATCGTTCTTCTCTATTTTCCTCGATCCGCGCATTTCTTTTTCCGACCCGAATATAATTCCAACAAAATCTGTCAAGCTGAGCATTATGGCTTGCCTTGACCTCCGGCGCAAAACGACAGCACGGCGGACGGAAGGATAAAGAAGCTATAGTGAAATCTAAAAGACAAACTCCAGCTTTACTAATCAATTGCGCCCTCTCTTAATTGACTTAAATATCGTTAATGCACTTCTATAAGACTCTTCAAACGAGAGAAGTTTATCACAAACGGAGATTATCATTTCAAATCGAAACAGAGCCCGCCTGCACAGCAGTGCAGTACTACAAAAACCCGGCATAAGACTGTCACAGGCTTATTTCGAAATGTTTAAGCTACAAAAGTACAATATAAAATTCTCCAACCTCATAATTGTCTTGCTTGTCTGCTGCCCTTCGAAGAATCTCCTTCAATTCCTTTCTTCTAATTTTTCTGCAAGGTACATACTCAGAGGGGCTGAAATGACACGCCACAAATTGGCCCTCTGCTTGAAGGATGGGCCGTCCTGAGATAAGACCCTCGCTGTCACTTTTCGACATAATGCCTGCATTTTACAGGGGAGACTGTTAACAATTATATATATGGCTGATTTTATATGATTTGATTCTATCAATCTCAGTAGCTGTCATTTATAGCAAACTTTTTCGTAGATTCTTTCTCTTCCGTTCCCTGGAGTTACAGAGGGGGAGCTAAAAAAGGTAACATTGTGGCTTGTAAGGAAAAGCTTTCAGAGCTTCGTGTTGTGCTGGAAGGTAAATATAAAGTTCTGCTGATGAGCATTTAAACCTCGTTTTTATTTTAATGATATTTATAAAACTAATAATACTTGTGACGTAGAGGAAAGTGTACGGGACGGGACGGGACGTAAACTGAACTAGTTACTTTCCCTAAGAACAGGCCAAAGCCGCACAACTCGCCCCACGCCTCTCCGAGAAAAACCGCAGTACTGTCATTAGAGTACGACAATTCCATACCGAAAGAAAGATGATGTCTCTTTCTCTCCCATCTTCACCCGCCATGATTTCGACGTTACTTTTTCAAATTCTCCTTAGCCTGTTCCAGGCTTTCGGTGAGTGGGGACGATCGAAGGCGGGCGACGAGCGGGATCAGCGACGAGCAGCTACCAGAACCCGCTCGTCGTCCGGCCGCTTTTTCGATCGTCCCCACTGACCGAGAGCCTGGAACAGGCTAAATTCCCCTCAGGCCCTACGCAGACGCTCTTTACGCTCGTCACGCAATCTGACGAGCCCAGAGTTCTAAATATCATTATCACATAGATGGTGTCAAATTCCCGTCCTCAAAAACTACCACTGATGTCAAATTCCCGTCCCCAGGGGCAGATCAAATGGTCGGGGTAGGCCCGGGGCTATTTCAACGATGCATACGCAAAGGGTCATCAAGGGACATGAGGGGCCTGTTCTTAAAGGAACCCGTAGCCAGCTTTTCGCTACCTGTCCGCGAATATATCCTGGCGTTTTAGCGCTAATGAAGCGAAATAAAGTTTTTCGTTTTCCAAGAGCTTTTTAAGACTGAAAAGTGCCGTGTGCCATCAATTAATGACATCAAACCCGGCAATTTAAATCCCACGTCATCTAGAAGTTTGTATTTTTATATTGCAATGTTCTTCCTGTTTGCTCTGCTGCTGCACTGCTGACTAATGCTATCTTTATTTGAGTACTATTGGAGTCCTGCAATATAAGTTACGATTCTAACATTACAGTAATCTGCAAAATCATTTAACCTTGCTACCTAATCTACGACCCCAACTCAACTGTTTGATCACGAAATAACATTTTACCGTAAGCGATTTAAATAGATGTATTTTAATACACCTAAAAAGAGTACAAAGGGATATTTTTTCTCTCAATATTTTTCAAAGGGTCGGTAACAATCTTACCTTAGATTTTTGCAACTTGATTTAACTTCATTCACCCAGTGTCCCGTTTACTGATTTCACTTCGTTTTAGAAATACATTTTGTCGATTCTGCACGCGCCGATTCGTGTTACTGTCTGTCAAAAGAAACGGTTTTTTTGCAAAGTGGCTCAGCAAGCAACAAAACAAAGACAAATCGTAAATTATTTTTGTCCAGCTGTAGTAAGTCTACGCTTCATATGTAACTGATTTGTTTGACTTGTTAATTTAAGGCACAAAGAACGGAGTTGCATAATAAAGGTCAAATGTCAATATTTACTTTTCTTGCAACTGCTGCGTCATTGGGTAAATATAGGCTATTATTACAGTCATTCTATCATTAGCTCTTACGCAGATCGTCTTGTGACCCATCACGCACTCCTCCATGACGTAGGGGTAGAAAGATTTCGTGACAAGCCACGTAGGAGGCTATCCTATCGTATGACCGCGCGATCAGACGGAATTTCCTAGGTTCAAGGGGTATTCTGCAATGCAGGCGCATGTTGGCGAGCGAGCGCACGCATTTTGATAAGGCGAGCGCCATCTTGGATTCAAACTCGCAAACAGACGAAAAGGGGTCCTAGGGGGAGTAGGGGTGAGGTTAAAAGAGGAATCACAGGGGAGGGGGAAGGGAAAGAAAAAATTTTCCCTGCTTCCGCTCCTACCATCGCCCCCCCGCTCACTTTTCCTGAGACAACATGGCGAATCTACACGATCGCGAGCTAATACCGATAACACGTGAGCACACGAAAAACGCCCGTACTGCAGGCTATCCAAGGGGAGGCAAAACCTAGCGTCCTCCACCCCGTAGCCTGCGTTGCAGCCGAACGTGTCACAAAATCCCCGGTATACTAAACCGTCTGACAAATGCGACAAATGCGTTTTTCGCAACCGTCAATCAATTGTTCGGCGGCTCCTCCCAGCTTTCGACGACTGCCGAGCGCGCGGTAATCAAATCAAATCGTTGAGCACAGTTCAGACAACATAGCCGGAAGCTGGGAGGAGCCGCCGAACATTTGATTGACGCTAGCGAAAAACGCATTTGCTGGTTGAGCTTCGAATTTTAGAGTCCGCATGTTATTGAAAGGCGCAGTAAGGAGAAAAAACAAAGAGTTTTGAAGGCAAGGTCTGATTCATTGCATGATTTCTTACGTTCTATCAAAACATACAGTCAAGTACTATGAGCTATACTTCTATCGAATTCTTGGGAGACGGGGGAGGGTGGGGGCCGGGGAGTCCTGTGGCCGGAGGACCTGACCAGTTATGGCCCACGAACAGCGAGTCCCATACAACATGGCCAAGTGTCAAAAATTATTCGCAAAGTTCCAGTTTTCTGTATATTGAGCTTAACAGTTGTCGGAAACTGAAAATGTTTTGGTGATTAAGGGCTCATTGTTTTCTTTCCTATACCCCATCGGCTAAAAAAGGCAGCGTGGGCGTTGGGAACGAGGATCACATGTCGACCGCGCCTGAACTGACCTGTGAAAACCTGTTTAGGGACAGACCATCTTTTAATTTTTTTGAGGGAGATGGGCAATTTCCCAAAAAAATCCGCCACAGCAAAAACTGCTGAAAAACAAAAAAATCGTTCAAGGGGAGCCGTGGGAAAAAATTCGAGCAAGCGCGTTCTACTAACCAGGTCATGTGTTTGACTTGATAAAAAATATATCAAAAATAAATCACGCACAACCTAAAGGTGAGAAAAAAATTTCATGCCCCAGAAAATTGCGCAATTTCCTCCCCCTGTGTCCCTTATCAGGCTAGTAGACGTGTAGACGAGTTTTATTGGTCCAGGCGCCTTGTCTATT